GGCAGACGGTGAGTGGAGGAGTAAGAGGCGAGAAGCGGACGGGGCTGCAGTACGTAAATGCAGAAGAGGGAAGAAGTGTCACCAGCGAGAGTCTGGTTGGTGAAGGATGAGAGACAATGAATGATGAATGGAGGAGTGATTCTGCGCCTGACGAAGGGCAGGACAAGGTGGGGTTATGAGTGGGGATTGGGAGATAAAAGAGACAGACAAACCAGGCCGGATGGAAAATTTAAAATCTGGAAGCAGAGAAAACAAATATTTGGGACTAGTAGGAAAAGAAAACAACTCAGAGAGATGACCCAATCCAGATACAGTATTGGATTCAGAATCAATCAATCAATCAGCAACAACAACAACAACACTACAATGGAACAGACGAACGGACTGATAGGAACGAAAGCAATAAGTAGAGAAAGAAAAAGAGTGGGCGATCGACACATGAAAAGGGACGAAAGGCGATGGTTTTAAGTTCGGGGGTCGTGACCACCGGAAGAAATTGTAAAGAAATTCAAAATTAAAATCATAGAAGATGGCGATTCAACACCAGGTTTCTTCCTGGATCGGAATCTCTCAGAGGGAAATTATGATCATTACGAATTTGCCTTTTTGTTGATTTTTTTTTTTTGGAAATATTACTTTCTGTTTATCTGTTTTTTTTCCGTTCGATTTGATTTGAATTTCTATCTCATTTTATCAAAGACAGATTGATCTGTCAAAGACTGAGAAAAGCGATCAATCAATCCACAATCCATAACAACAATGATAATAATAATAATAATAATAATAGATTAAGATTATTATCTGTAGGGTGAGATTTTCTAATGAACTGTTGAGCAAATGGAAAAAGAAAGAAAGTCGGAACGGAAAGTGGAGGAAGTGGGGACACACTCCAAATCCACTGGTGCGATTGATGCCTGATCAACTTTTTTGCTGATATTTATTACCCGTTCTGATGGGCGAAGTAGACATACATACCCGTGACCGGTATGTATGTATGTATGTACATCGGAGGAGTAGGTACCTTGACCGGTGGCATGGAAGAGTACTAGTAGTACTAGTATATCAACAGGTCCCGGATTGTTCCAGCAAAAGTCAAATCAAGTCAAGATTCATCCTTACTTTTATGTCAAATTTTCTTCTTTCCAACGCCACTTCAACAATACCAACAACCGTACAGGCGGCCTGCAGCTGCGTCCCATTGACGTATTAAAAACGTCGGATTTGAACACAGCAGGACACCGGGATGTTATGTATCATCTAATAATAACACAGTGGTTTTGAAATATGACAGTTATTGACCAACTACATTTTCCCTTCTTTTCTTGTTGGTATTGGGATTCGAATCTTTGTGTTTGTCAGGCCCAGCCTCGCTATACTACCACTTCCACTAGGAACCGTGGTTCTCAACGGACCCAATCCATGGAAGTGGGACAAAGATAACCGTCTTTGAACTGAAGTATATACCGACGACTAGTGTCACCTTCAGGTACCTCGTGTTATTCTTCCCACCCCTCTCATTTTGAATTCGTTTTCCTATAACCTCTTCAACCGACTATGGAACACACGGTTAAACCTATTGCCACCGTGATCTCTACGATTATCTATGTAGAACCTCACTTCAGCCGGTACGATAATTTCACTCCGCAGTCGCTGCCCAAACCCTCGGAAGCTGCAGAAGGTAGCGGCCCAATCACAATGTATCGCCTCCACTGAGGCATATTTTGGAGAAAAAAAAATGTTATTAATTAAACAAAAAAAAATTTTCCTGTTGTATCCGGAGTATTGTCACCGCAAAATGTCGCAACTGGAGGGGCAGGACCTGCAGAGTCAGCAGTAGGTTTTCTCACTCTCCATCATCCTGCATTTGAATCATAGCCTTGATTGGCATTCAACCCCCACTTAATATTTTATTTTTTTATGATATACTCTCAATATCCCATTTTCTTCCAACCATCTACTCGTCAGGCCGTCAGTGGAGCGTTCGGAGTATGAACGGCATGGAAGCACGCTAGAAAATCATCCTCGACGAATGTCGATCCGAGTGCACGACTGCTTGGTTGAATACGATCAAAATGTTTGATCTATGTTTCAAAATTTGACAAATAGCCGTTTGCCTCGGACAACTCTCGCCCGATACTCTTCTTGTCCCTGCCACTCATCCAAGAGTTCTCTACAAGGGATGCTGGAGACGGACTCGGGGCACACGACCACAGCATCGTATTTGACGATGACGTCTGACTGTTAACGGTTCAAATAATAAGTCTTTTGGGCACTAACGCGATTCACTTGTCACATTCTATCACATTCATGGGCTCGGGCTGGAAACCTTCGAATAGCAATCGTCTTTAATCTAAAGGGTCGACTTGATAATGAGTCATCTGACTAGAAGTAAGGGATGTGTGTATTTTGGCAATCGACTACTAGAATCTCATGCAGCCAGTGGCATAGTTTCCCGTCCGTATGGGATTTGCTGTCACGATTAAATGGAACCCATCGCAGTACATTAACAATGACAGGCTAAGATGCGCATTTCAAATCAGCCGACTATCCTGGCTCATCTCCCAGCTGAGGCTGAGTGGATCTAACCTTATCCCAAGCTTTGCGTCATGCTGTCTCCTTGAAAGCCGTCTCCCCACCGATTGGCTCAAGAAACGCGGCGCATCGGGACCAGGGTGCTGCTTTTTCAACCAGACAGCGCTTCCATTGAGCAACGGAACTGATGGATTCGGACACTACGAATTGCTTTATCAGTTGCACGATGCCAAGTGACGGTTGCTCATTCCCATGATAGAGGATGCTGGTATTGATGCCCAATGCCCGAGATGGCTGTAGTATCTCTTGTAGCTTGTTTACCATTAGCTATACGCAGGAAGCTGTTCAATGATATCACCATGCCGTTGTAGTCACTCTAGGCCATCCGCAAGTTCGGCGGGGCATTGGACGCGGGGCCCCGAACTCGCAAATTCCTGGTCGAGAACACACCTTGTCGTCTCCGATAGCGCTTCCGGAGAATGCTCGTCCCTCACTGGTTTGGTAAAATTGTCGGGAAACGAAGACTGTGAAGATCTTTGGTTGACTTCTTCTGTGGATCTGTATCTGGTGATATCTTGTCTCGATAAGGATCGATAAGATAAGTCGCGCTGACTCATCAAGTTGCCGGACCAACGCGATCACCCAAACAAAAGAAGAGCGTCATTCCCCAGCCTCTCGATTTACTCCAACCACCGCAATTTCGGGCGGCGATCGATCTGTTTCTGTTCCCCAAGTTCCTGAATCTCTACTATTCTTCCTACTTGCATACTAATCAAGAGACAAGCGTCCATTGACACGAGAAGCAAACAGTGCACGAACATCTTCCAACATACCGCCTATCTACGATATCGAGCCCTATCTACGATAGTGGACCGTTACCACCAGACTAAGAATTCCACCATTCCTGCACTCGCCAGCGGATGGTACATCTACATTCCTGTGCAATCTGGAATGCCATATCTCTTCATCGGACATACCAACTGACCACATCAGAGTGCCGTCTTGAGCTATACGCTCTTGACAACTCTCTTCGTCCAACATGCCTCCAGTTATACAAGTGGGGGATGACTTCCCCAGCATTCCGGCACCCGACAACAATGACGTGCTCAGTAAATTCCAACCGTCGCCAGAGGTCGAAGACCTCACTGAACGATCAGTGACAGCATCACTCGCGGAAAAGCCCCATTATCTCGTGGCACGAGATAGCTCTTCGAAGTATATCCCGGGCGAGGGTGCGGTCGACCCACATAAGATCAACATGCAGGGTCTGCTAGCGCTTTTCGCCCTTATCGGAGCTGCGTTTGTCCTCGCCGCCATCTGGTTCTTCTTCTGGGCCAAGAACGGCGGATTCATCTGGCGGAAGGGAGACTGGGAGGATTACAAGTCGACGGTTCTACGACGTAAGGGCCCCGACGGCGAAACCCTAAGTAATGCGACAAAGAGTACCAAGCTGGGCGGCGGCAGTGTCGTCGGCAAACGCTACGATGACGACGGTTACACGGTCTCAGGATACACCGACACAGCGACGGAAATAACAGAGAAGGACGGACCGAGGCGCAAGCGTGGGCTTAAAGAGAAGCTCCTGGGACGACATAAACACGAGCGATATGAGAACGAGGCAGATGAGGACGTGCGCGCGTACCGTAAAGAGAAGGCAGCTCGAATCGGTGGTATCAACGCTGAGGCTGATGGCACCTACTACGGCAGTGACTACGACACTTCCAATCCACCCAGTTACTACCAGCAGAGCGAGATGAGCCAGGTTCGCGATTACGCCTACAAACCAAGCCGTCATAAGAGCACGCGTCGTGATTTCTCGTTCACTCCGGGCACCGAAGAAGTCCTCAGCCAGCCTCCAACAGAACATCACCGTATCCGCGAACCCTCTACCCGCCGCCACAATCGCCGTCGCGAAAGACGTCACCATGCACCCCCGACATCCTCCTCACGCCAGAGTAGTCCGCGCAAGCGTGACAGACGGTCTGCGCCGGGTCATTACACCGAACCGCTCGACTTTTCGTCCGCTCCCTCGCGCTCCGAATACCAGTACTCGAACGTTGATACGGAGGATACTGGAACCAGGAGCTACCATCACCCGATTCCCGGATTAAGCAAGGGATACCGTCGTGATGGAGGACGGAGCCGTCGCCGCGACAGTCTCAGTGACAGTGACGGCGATGAAACTCGCTACTCGTGAGGTCTCGGCTCCTCTTATCCGCAGAAGTTTCACGACAAATCTCTATTGGTAGATGTAAATAATTGCACTTTTTTTTCCTTTTCAATTTTTTCAATCAAATCGACGAGCGCACGGAATACGAATGGAACGGGCACCAACACAAGAATATCGGGAACATGGTCTATTATGTTATGAATGGTATGGATATGGTCATGGTTAATGGAACTCAACCAATGAAATCAAATGTATCAAATGCAATCAATACAACCAAGTATATCAAGGATCCATAATTTCAATTGGTAGAACGATCGTAGTGGCTAATCTAAACCCTGCAGGTGCTATAGATATTTCAAAAATAAGTAACAAAGGAGATGGTTGAAATGTATGGATATGAACGAAAACCCCATCGGTATTCAGCCAACGCCAAGAATCCTAAATCTAACGACTTATGGTACAATATGTGCATAGCCCGAAATCAACGCGAGGAATGATCTGAGCTGATAGCAGATATGAAGCGAATCCAGAATCGAAAAGCGAGAGTTGACAGTGAGGAACGTCAATCAGGATGAACGAAAGAAGAGATCTCGTCATTGAAAAATAAAGAAAATAAAATTAAAAGCCAGGGAGGCAAAGTAAATCTGCATGTCTGTATCATACCAAAGGCAAGTCTTCTTTCGATGTAGGTGTACAAAACAAACTCCTTCTCGAACCGAGTGACTCCCAGAAACTGTATCCCTGACACTTACAGGTTCCTGAACGCTCATATCACTGGTGGCCGGTGGCGGAGAGGCCGATACGGTGGCCTCGTCCTCAAACCATTGTTCAGTGACAGCTGACAGACTTTTCGCTCATCGTCACCCTGATCTGATCACACAGGCTTTTGATCTCCGGTAGGGATTTGAGATGACCAATCTCGATGGTTGATTGTCGAAGCCGGTGGAGGAGCCATTTGTTGACGAACTTGGTTTGGCTGACCTTCTCCTCTATAGGCTCAAAGGGGGAGGTATCCTCTTCCGTAGAGGCCTTCGGTGGATCCTCCGGTTGGTTGGGAGCAGCAGCAGGATAAACTTTATAAACAAAGTCACGACCTTGGATGTACTCATGTATCAGATGCCCTTTTTCGAAAAAGACTGTCCGCAGCTGATTCATATACAGTTGCGCATAGAACAATTCGTCGCAAATTTCTCTCCTTTCTTCGTCATAGGTGCGAAGAAACTCGATAGATTCATCATCCATGGGCATATTCAAGGACTCGCGTTCCTCTTTCTTCCTGTCTAAGTCAATAAGGCGCTCTTGAATCATGCGTACGTCAGCTACGCAGGACACACAATCCACTACATCCGGGGGATCCTCCGGGACTGAGCTGGTGGTCGACCTCACGTCACCCAAACTATCGCGATCGATAAGGGACGGCTCATCAGGCGTTGGAAGTGAGTGATGATCATGCGATAATCGGGCAAAATCTTCCATTGCCTTGATAAGCGTGTACTCATCTCGCTCCAGCTCACTTTCTGCCCTATTGCATTCTGCTTCCATATCCGAGTATATACCAGTGGCGGAAAGAAGAGCCTCATTGTTCTGAAGCAAGGATTGAACGCTTGTCAGAGTACCTTGCGCCACGGGTAACATGTCTGATAAAGTGCGCTCTGATACTGGATTCTTCATCCCTTTTGGACCTCAGGGCCGTGCGTAGCTCTTGTACTTCGGATCTTTTGAAGGCAACTTTATCCCGCAAGGATAGTAATCTATTGTTGGCGGCCAATATCTTAGCGATATATGCAGCATCGGGACCATCTGGCACAGTCTGGTGTTCCTGTGGGTCTTTAGATCTGCCCGGGAGTGAAAAACCAGCATTGGCGTCCTTACTAGTTTCATTATGAGACGGATTCAAGGGGAAATTGACACTGGGTGAGTCCTCATGAGGATGGGACAGAGATCCCTTAGCTTCAACATAGCAGGCAGGAGAGGGATAATTTTGGGTGGAAGTGAATGGCTCCGATCCTCTTTCCAAATTCAAATCATGTTGACTCCCGGAGAAGCCGGTGAGGGCGTTCCAACAGGCTGCGTGGCTGCCCCGGGCATCTCTAACTTTTCCGTGGGCATCGGTTACGTAGAGCGCTCGTCGCCTTCACTCTAATGGGCAATAACACATATGCGATTTGAGTAATAAATAATAATGTAGCAGGTGGCAGTGCTTCCGGACACGATGAGGTACAAGAATCCATGGCTGCTACGGGTTTTATGGTATACTTCGACGTGCAAGTAAACGGGACTCACCGTTTCATTTTGCTGGGACGAGGAATGCCAATTCCACCTCAAAAATTTGCGGACACTATCGCCCAAGTTTGGCTTGTTCTCAGGTATTAAGCGAACATGGCGGGAAGAACCACCGTTCACGCAACACGGGAAGTAAAACAGCGCCCAGAGAAACGACTTCATCCACCACGGGACGGGCCGGGGCCATATTAAGTATTTATTTAAGCATTTGTCGAGGTTCGGCTCTTTGTTCCGATTTTTATGTGGTGTTGTTGCCAGCGCCTTGAGTTGGGTTTCTCTCTCTTTCCTTTTTTTTTTTTTTATTTTCTTCTTTTTTGCTCCCTTTGAGGTGGTAGTGGTGTTGTTGTTGTTTGTTTGTGTGGCTCTTGTTTCTCTTTCGGCGTGAATTTGACTCGGCAATAAAAGGCGCTCCTCTATGACACGTCTGCTGGATGAGCCCGACATCAGTAAACTAAGCGCCGTGCAACCTTCCAGCAAATGCGCGCGCAGAAAGTGTACGGACTACATATAAACGATGGATGGTTGCATCGGAAATTCTAATCTCGAGAACGACGATCCCTACATATGGTAGATTAGTGGATGACGACATCCATTGAACCACGTTTCATAATTCATTCCTTCAGTTCTGGATTAACGGTGAGACTGACTCGTATATAAGGGTTGGATTGGTGACTGGCCCGCGGTCGGTGTTGGTTAGTGACGACGACCAGAGCATTAGACTGACGCTAGAAGAAAATGAACCGAAGGTCTATTGGCGCTTCAGGCAGACCCTCCATGTCTCCGGCGGGGAACCAGTAACCAAAAGAAAGCACTGTAAGTGTTATCTAGCGGTCGGGCAGTCCACCTGCAACCATAGGGGAGACCAACCGGAATATAGAAATATCAAACCCTCCGATCCTCATGAAAGGCCGATTCTCTGTTTTTCTTTTTCGGACCCGAGCGTCAGGTGCTTCCCACGTCTGCGACTCAGCGTGTGCCAACAAAAACCCACCAGCATATGGCGTGCAGCTCGGCTTGATGTCGACAGGGAATGCGCGATGAACTCCATCGGAATGGCTATGGATGGTTTGAGAATCAGAAAACAGAGCCGCATATCCTCTCTGACCATCCTAAGCGTCCAGCGAAAATGGACCATCGCACTTCCTAGAAACATTTATAGTCCCTTTCCCGTCCAATGATTGTAGTCACAAGGATTTCAACTTTTATTGATCATGCTGGTTCATACAAAGACCAAATCGAACCTTCCAACCGTATCGTCGCTTGTGTGTGGTGGTCATAAGGAGATGCTGCGATCATGGCTTCCGACCGGGACCCAAGAAGAGAACCGACCCGCCGCCGTCAGAATGGTAAGAGGGTCTATGCTTGACTCCTCCAGCTTACAATATCTCACTAATAGCATCGTTTAGAGGCCACTGGCTTTCCAGAGGGAGCCACAACTTGAATGACCAGGTCTCAACCACGAGGGGTTATGGGAACTCAACGTGACTTGCTTAGGTATACATGCCAGCTAACATGGCGCGAACAGGGAAAATTGTGCTTGTTGACTGTCTCGAATGTGCACTGGGAATCAACTGTGTGCTCCCTGGTATGCGCATATCAGGGTATTCCCATGCAGGACCAGAAAGTCATCAATATTGTTAGTCCATATCCGAAAGAGTATTTGGCAATTCATAGAGAGAATCCATACGTATACTAGTTTTGAAAATTAGAAAAGACACTGGACTCTTTGTATAGCATAATTTTTTTAGAGTTTGTCACACAGGGCACTATGGCGGAGTGGTTAACGCGATGCCCTGCTATATCACTATGTGTATTAGCCTAGGCATTCCCTTCGGGGGCGTGAGTTCGAATCTCACTGGTGTCGTTTTTTGTTTACTTCTTAGTTTTTTTTACAGGTTACTTACTACTTACTACTACTAACTACTACAGTATTATTATTATTAAGTTAGCAGGAAGTTAAGTTCGTATGTTATCAAAATTTAGTAAATTATTAAACTCACTTATATATTATAAAACTATCGACTATCCAACAACAAGGCACTTTGGCGGAGTGGTTAACGCGATGCCCTGCTATATCCTAAACAGGCTTAGCCTAGGCATTCCCTTCGGGGGCGTGAGTTCGAATCTCACAGGTGTCGTTTTTTTTGGCCCTATCTCCAGGTCATCATCATATTGTTTCGGTGGCAGTAAGTAGCCTACCTACCAACAATCGCCATTGCTAGCTTTTCTATATATACATTGGAGGCTCCTCAACAGACACTGTACATACATAGTCTACTGTCCCGCTGCGAGGAAGGTACTAATCAAGCCATCTTCTCGCTCAACTACATCCTCACAGGGGGAGAGTTTTAGTGACTAACCTATTCTCTCGTTAGGCCTTGGGGGGGAATGTAAAATGCTGAAGTATCTGACATGTAGTTTATTCAGGAGTATTTGCGATGTCGATTTACACATCTATCCCCCTTGTGAAGGCGTCGACATTTGGGGGAGTTAGCTGCCATTTTTCGAACCTAGTCCAGTCTTTTTTGCATGATTGCCTTTCTAAACTCTATCCAAATGTTAGTCGATCTCGCCATCATGATATTGCTGGAAGCACCGAGCACTAGATTAGGGTCACTGCGTTGCTTCGATTTCGCATGAAGGGGACGTTTGACAAGTCCTTATATGTGAAAATCTCCATCTCTATATAGACTTACTCCATCTAGTAAATATATTGCGCCTGAAAGCTATCACTGAGCAGTGCTCTCTATCTCCTCCCACACCCAAGTTTATCGCTTGGACACAAAGAGTAGTGACGAAGTTGTCCTATTCCAAAAAAGTTGAAACTATAAGAAGGATGGAATATCTTGTGGAGCTTTTATGGGAGCTGACCGTGAGCTCGATATCTTTCTGTAGTCTGCTATCTGTAGTATATAGTAGCCTAGACTCAGTGTGTACTAGGATACACGCTTATCTGAGATCCTACGTGGACAGTCAGTGTGCTTCTTATTAAAGTCTATTAGGATATATAAAAAAGCGGTGTCTTCTATCTCGTTCTCATGAATCTCATCTATACCACCCTCTTAGTTGCTTGGTGAGCGGGACCTCAGATCTGGGAGTCTATTTTTATACTGCATAGAGTAATCGTCTATTATATACATTGTTGAGTCACTGGGTAGGGAGCATAAACTCCTACCAAAAGGGGTATGATTGCAGGTCTGCTTAGTTCTTCAATAGATAGTATATCTAGGTCTCTCTTTTATATACTTCTGTTTTTGCTTACGATACGTAATATACATGTTAATAGATCGCGAGCTATATGCTTGTGGATCTACCACAAATACGGAGAATATAACCAGGCTAAAGTATATCTCTCTTTTATTTTAATAGTAGAGGATGAGAGAGAGGAAGCTTGGATAGAAGTTACGAGTCCTTTAGAGACCTCGCTCGGCCTAAAATGAACCCTACGTCTGCCTGAGTCACATATATAGAAAGATCCCACTTCGGATAGTACATAGATATCTAATATAGAGGAGTATATAATTGAGTTCTATTATGAGTAATCTAAATTTAAATTGTCGGTATTATAACTATATTTGTAATTTTTTCCCATCAATTATAAGGAATCAAGATAGAATAATATTAATGATATTTAACCCAAGCCAAGACTAATAGATACCCATATGCTAAGCACATCATGTCATCCGGTGAAGACAACATTTACGTCGTACTTATTTGAGAAGCCGGGCTCTGAGGACATTCCCAACGAAGAAGATCGGTAAAGGTTCAAGATATCCGAAAATGTGACCTGAACGCCACTTACAAAATATAGGTATAACTGGATTTTCATTATTGAGCCCCAGATCAAAGCAACCCACGGGAGGATGATGGTCCTTGTTGTAGAATACTATCCCGTTATCTGGACGCAATCTTGTGTGGTTGACCAAGCAGAATGGCATAGTATTCGATTCAGCCCACGGTGCGCTCCTGTTCTGACGGTCAAAATAGCCGATATCAGGAACCGATCACGGCTCAAGAATCTCGAGGTGTATATATTGACTTGACTGTGCAAGATATACCACCAAAACTTGCCCACTTTGAACATCTAACACAATTTCGAGTAAGTTACGTTAAAGCCAATAGTCAACTGATCACAAAATTAAAAAAACGCCTAAGTTAGAAAATAGCTGAGTGTGAGGTGCAAAAACTGATCATGGGGAATTTCGATAAAAAATACAGCAATATGTCCCCAAAAGTGTCATTTACTCAATCATATCTTTATAAGAATTAATATAGAGGAATATACTAACCAAAGGCACTTTGGCGGAGTGGTTAACGCGATGCCCTGCTATACCCTAATAAGGGTGAGCCTAGGCATTCCCTTCGGGGGCGTGAGTTCGAATCTCACAGGTGTCGCTTTGATTTTTGCTCTCTTTTCTTTATTATTCATTATTATATTATCATCTTGTCTATCCACCCTCCTTCCCTCCATTCACCACAGCCTCAAAATTTGGTTTCGCTCGCCAGTATGAAAAGATACGTGTGTGGGCGGGGGTGAGTAGCGGCTTTAGATGGAATGACTTTGTACGTGATGATGATTGTGTATACTACCTAGGCCAAATGGCGAAAGAACCGCCTGGACAGCAGGAAGGGCCGAACAACGAATGTCTGGCAGAATTAGGTGAACACGGTAACAAACAAGGCTTTTTCCTTATGCCTAAATGATAACTATGAAGAAAAAGCAACGCCACCAGTGAAATACTCACACTCCTCTGCCAAAGTGTCTGATTGGCTGAATGAAGCTCAATCAATAATTTGAAGCTGTAAACAAACGGCCCCGCGCGAGTTACTATGTATTCATTCCCCTGTCAAATACTAAAACCTAACTCTTAACTTCTTCTAGCTGCATACAACATGACCTGCAGACAACAGACAAATAAACAAAAAAAATTCGACACCAGTGAGATTCGAACTCACGCCCCCGAAGGGAATGCCTAGGCTCACCCTTATTAGGGTATAGCAGGGCATCGCGTTAACCACTCCGCCATAGTGCCCTATGACTACTATTTTTGTCGTACCCTGTGGTTAATAGATGAACCTAAAACCTTACGGACTTTTACCTCCCTTCCGACTGCTTATACATAGCAACAGTATAACTAACCTGCTGGACCTACTAGGACTGATAGGTTATATTACTGCCATATATCATACAACAGTGATAGTTATAATTCACTTTGCTTCGAACTTTTTTTAGCATTATTAATATTGAAAAAGCGATATTAAAAGACCTACCTGGCACGAGCCTATTCCTTGGAATACGGTCAAAAGCACCGCAACAGACAATCCCTGATAACTCAAACCTAGATTCAAGACCTCACCAGACAATACAAAGCCCTTGGAGTTTGCATAAGTAATTGATATTGCCCCCACTCTACCTGAACGTAGTCGTAATAAGTCTTCCTTTTTCTTAGATCTCTTATTCTATAAGCTCAGTTGTCAAAAGAAATGCCAAATACTTGAAGATAGTTGACATCTTATGACCTATATAGATACCCAATGTGGCTGTGAATATATATATAGCAGCTGGCAACCATTACAAGGACAGGCCAATTAGGTAACAGAAATGTTATCAGGGCTCACATTAGACCACTACACCAATTAACTATACATACGTAGGGTTTAGACAGCTCTGAACTATCTCATATGTCCCACCAGGAACTTGGACAGTTGGACTCAGAGAAGTAAGCAGTCAGCCAGTTAGGCTAGCAGACTCAACGTAGATACTAATACTGATATAAGGTGCGCTAACATGCTGTTCACGACCTTTGTGGAATAGTAGGTCATGTGATACTGTTACAGAGTTTAGTACTCAGTAACTCTAAATGTATGACATGTCGTACCATCGAAATGGCACTATGGCGGAGTGGTTAACGCGATGCCCTGCTATATCACTATGTGTATTAGCCCAGGCATTCCCTTCGGGGGCGTGAGTTCGAATCTCACTGGTGTCGATTTTTTGCACTCTCGCTTAATTAACATCACTTCAACTGCACAAGAAGATACTTTACTATTACTGCCATCGCCTCAGTGTCATATGAAGCAGTATGGTATTCTCCGCCAGGCCCTTCGCTTCCGCTCAGAAATTCGTGCACCGTCTCAAGGGTTCCTGCCGGGAGACCAGGAAACAGCTTTTTACAAAGATCTCCGACATTGATCGCCTGGAAATTCTTCTGGCGCTTATGAGAGATCTTGTTCTGTATCAACTTATCACACACCCTTCTAAGGTCCGGAGGCGACACTGCATGTCTTGGGCCGTAAACCAAGAGACAGTATCTTCGTATCCTCTGCATCGTGGCCGCACAATGAGATAATCTAGTCCCTAATCTGGAGTGGCGTCTCTCCTTTGGTGTTGGGACCACCATAGCATCTTAGTAAAATATTTACCATCATTTCGTGCTTACCTGATACACACGAGGATATCGCCTTCATAATTCCTCCATGGACAGACCGTAATCATATAGCAGCTTTCCATCCAATTGTCTGATTCCAAGCTGCAGTGGAATGGGTGAAGACTTCCCCTTCAACAATATGAACTCCAAATCAAGAATCCAACTCTTTTCAGGTCTCTCGTATAATATCCTTAATTACTGCAGGAGGTCACGAGTCTTGTCTGTGATAGTGATCTTCCGGTTTTGTGCGTGATAGGCTAGCTGATTTAGTGGCTTACAGGACCCAGGATGGATCATAGTTTATAAGCGCTTCGAAATGGTGACGACAGCAGGAGGATACCTGAGGCATCTGTGGTTCTGGGCAAGTGTAGTACAAACACCTTTTCTTGCCATTTATGAGCTTTAAGTTCTTCTGAGCATTTCTCAATGCCTGCACGAGCGTCTTGCTGAAACCTTTCTGGGATTCGGAAGCTGTTTTGGAATCTTGTTTGAGTGTTTCCTCGATGCACCTAGAGGTGCTTCAGAAATACTCAGGCCTTTAGATAATGGAGACAACACTTCGTCTTCAGAGACTCGGAGAATGAGAGAGAAGTGACTGAGCGAAACGAGCTGAAAAGGCTGTACCACTGGGACGGAGAAATGCACTTCTGGCGCCTTTGTGATAATCGCATCGACAATTGATCCAATATCTGTGTATTTCCCGTGTATCGGAGATAAAGCGTCTTTTCCATTATAGTTTGAAAGTAGATAGGCACAGAAAAGTGTCCATGTTGGGGAGAACCGGCGAGGTCTCCAGGATTGCGAACTCTGGGGTTTTTCTTTTTCTCTTCTTCCTCTAACTGGAAGAGTATCTCGACGCCTTTGATATACAGCACTGGGACCTGCCTAAAATTTTCAAGAATGGGCTCAGACTTCCGGTAGAACTCTTGTGAGCACCTGATTTCAGGCTCTCTTCATCATCCCTTGAACGTTTTCGCTCTCCGCGCTGTAGTATCTGATAATCCATCGTCCAACCTTTGAGCGAGAGTGTGTCTGGGACTACTTCATCCTTGACTGAACCCCTTAGGCAGAGCGACAGAGGTAAAAGAATCTCGACCTTTGTCTTGAGCAGTAGTTTTATGGCCAAATGTGGAGGCGCACCTTTGAGGGGCTCATCGTAGTCGAACCTGATTCGGACCGGAATGGCAGACTCAAGCTAAAGAGAAAGGAAGCGTTAGAAAATTTATTTCAACATAGGGGCTTGTCTATAACATACTTTATCGCTGGCAGTGACAAAATGCTCGCATATAACACAAACACAGGCCCCAGTTCTTTGTAGCACGGTGTGCATCCTCCTGGACCAGGCTGTTGGAGACTATAATCGGGCGCAAGGTGGTATAAAAGAGAGTTAACCTTCTGTACCGCTGGGCTCTTATTTTTTGGGCTATACCCCGACGAACTTTCGAGACATGGGGTAGCACTGGCTATCCCAGAGGCACTACAGGGTTTACATCGGCTGTCAATGCCACAAGTGTAAATGTAGAACAAATAAAAGCAATGAAATAGTTAGAATTTGACGGGTGTGGCAGAGCGGACAATTCTCCCGCCAGTATATCCCCCCACCTGTCACTTCTGGCCCTACCGCCAATGAAACACTTGATATTCGTATTTTTCGACAGTCAAGTAGCCGCTCATAATCTGGAAGAGCATGGACTGATTATATCCAGGCTACAAAGTCCAGACCAATCCCAAGAAGCTTTTCAAAGTTGGAAGAGTACGACCATCTCTCTCTAGCTACAATCTTGCTTCTATCATCTAACTGGATATACAGGTTTTTGTTGCCATTTGGCACGAGGGTATGGGGAATGCCGCGCCTCTGAGAGGAGGCACCAAAAGCCTTGCAAGTGATCATGAACTGATGACAGTGGGAAAGTTCGGCACCAGGATCTACACTGACATCCGCCGCATGGTGGTCTTCAATGAAATGGATCAGTGTGCATGGTGCTTGTAAGTTGGTCGCAGGGCATTCTTATCTGGTAACGTATACTTAATCTACTCCTTAAGCCTGGTGCACACCTACGGCCGCCTGGGAGTCGCCAAAGCGAGTGTGAATCCCTCAAACCATGCAGCCATCTATATGGAAGACCAACAACCCAGGTACGGTCTCAACGAGCCAAAAACGACAAAGGAGACCATTGAGGTGACCCCTGAGCCGTATCAGAGACTACACGCCATGTCTGGATTGGATTTTGGTAAATTTATACAGTCGAACATAACCAAAAAGTTCTTCCAGTTGGGACCATCAGCGAGAAATCCATAGTCAAATTCCACTTATATGCGAAAAGGGAAACCGAACTTGGGTATTATGATGCCTCGAATACGGAGCCTACACGTGGTTCAGTTGCAATGCTTTCTCCTCTTCGTTCTTTTTGTTATTTTTGGCATGATCATTGACTTTCTTGCGAGTCCTTCTTTGATAGCCAATTGTTGACCCTCCACCAAATGTTTGCCATTGTTCTAATGGCATGCTGATATGTGTTCAAGGCAAACTTTATTTGTCTTGATTATTCCCCTCAATACGTTTTCCACTGCCATGCATCACATCCTAGAGGACCTCGGGACATTTAATTCTATTCCTCTGTGGTGCTACACCTCGGGGATTAGTTGATCATGGCCGTATTCAACCATGGCCTAGGAGTGAATCTTTTGTCTCTGTTAATGCATAACTAGCATGGTGATATATTGGTCATACTTTCCTCCATGAGATACTACGAGATTTTTTATGGTTACACCCTTACATGTTGGAACCCACGTTAGTTTGATTATGAGTTTTACCTGTTAACTTGCGAAATTGGCTGAGAAATATATTTCTCTGCCTTGATCTAGTATTATTCCTTCTGTAGCACTAAATAATCTGCTGAGATGACTACTATATCTGGAAAGAGTATGATTCTGCAGTATGTATCGACTGTCATATAACTGGACCAAGGACTAGGACAGCATGTTCAGATATGGAGCAAGGCGACATGACATGGGCAGGCAATGTTTATGATTCCTAAATTGATAACAAGAATAAGGTTCTGTTGCGGTGGGGCCGAAAAGAAAATACTGCCACTCAAAAGTCTCACCGCCCGACAGATTTTCTGAACCCGCCTGATGAGGAAAACTTTCAAGCAGATATCCTCACCACCATCAAAGCCACCCAAACCAAGGACGCTCGAAGGTTCTTGGAATTCCTAAATCGAAACCATGAAGCGGAAGCTCGACGCAAATGATGTTCCCTCTCCGGAGGCCGCAGATAAGAAGGAAAAGAAAGAAAAGAAGGAGGACAACACCGCCGACTTCGAGAGCCTTAACCTGGATCCGCGATTGCGCCAAGCTCTGATTAAAGAGAAATTCACCAAGCCCACACTTGTTCAAGCGAAAGCAATTCCACTGGCACTGGAGGGCAAGGATATTTTGGGTATGTGTTGATCTGAATAGTCATCTGCCGGAGAACACCGGGTGCTGATAAGATGCAGCTCGTGCGAAGACCGGATCTGGCAAGACTGCCGCATATGTACTTCCCATCCTGCAGACCATTCTTCAGAAGAAAACTGTTCGTATACATTTTCTTTTGTTTATATTGAGTACTTAAACATATTCGTACTAATCCTATGCACTGTAGACCGATCCTTCAATAAAAGCGACCACAGGCCTCATCCTTGTCCCTACTCGAGAGCTTGCGGAACAGGTCCAAAATGTCGTTACCACTTTTGCTGCCTTCTGCGGAAAGGATGTGCGCTCGGTGAATCTGACACAAAAGGTTTCGGACGCAGTCCAGCGCACTATGCTGGCTGATTACCCCGATCTGGTTGTTTCGACGCCCGCTCGTGTTGTCACCAATCTCGGCAGCTCCGCTTTGTCCCTGGAGAACTTGACACACCTTGTAATCGATGAGGCGGACCTGGTTCTGTCGTATGGGTACGAGGAGGACATTAATGCTTTGGCCAAGGCTATCCCACGTGGTGTGCAGACTTTCCTCATGAGTGCTACGCTCACTGACGAGGTGGATACCCTGAAGGGTTTGTTCTGTCGGAGCCCTGTAACCTTGAAATTAGAAGACAAGGATGACCAGGGTGCTGGTGTCAGTCAATTTGTGGTCAGGTGAGATTTATGTCAGCCCCATTGGTATTCATGATCCGGTGGCTAACGTTGCCTGCTGCAGATGCGCGGAGGACGAGAAGTTCCTTCTAACTTACGTCATCTTCAAGCTTCAACTGATCAAAGGAAAAGTCATTATCTTCGTGGATGATGTCGACCGTTGTTATCGTGTGAAGCTGTTCCTCGAACAATTCGGAATTAAGAGTTGCGTGCTGAACTCAGAATTGCCTATCAACTCCCGTATACATGTCGTCCAGGAGTTCAACAAGGGTGTCTACGATATCCTCATCGCCGCAGACGAGCAAGAGGTAGTAGGAGCCCGGAAGTCGAAGAAATCGAAAGAAAACGCCAACGAAGCAGGGTCAAGTGACGAGGATGAGGGAGAACCGGAAGAGAAGTCCAAGCGCCGCAAGATATCAGGAAAGGAGAAGGACTACGGAATTTCCCGCGGCATTGACTTCCAAAATGTTGCATGCGTTCTGAACTTCGACCTTCCCTCCACTTCCAAATCCTACACACACCGAATCGGTCGTACCGGAAGAGCAGGCAAGACCGGTATGGCGCTATCATTCGTCGTCCCCAAGGACCAGCACGGAAAGCACAGGCCCACCTCCACCGCAACCTCCAAGCATGATGAGTCCGTTTTAACGAAGATCGTCAAGCGGCAAGGCAAACTCGGTCACGAGGTGAAACCATACCACTTCGAAATGAAGCAGGTCGAAGCCTTCCGGTATCGTATGACCGATGCTCTTCGTGCCGTAACACGACTCGCCGTGCAGGAAGCCCGAGCCAGAGAAATCCGTCAAGAGCTGATCAAGAGCGAGAAGCTCAAGCGCCACTTCGAAGAGAACCCCGAAGAGCTGCGTCAGCTGCGCCACGACGACGAGCTGCGCTCTGCACGCGTCCAACCTCACCTCAAACATATCCCAGAGTATCTGATGCCCTCTAAGGGAAAGAAGGGTCTTTCCAGTGGTGACGTCGGCTTCGTGAGTTTCAGAAAACAAAACGAGAACCGCATCAGGAAAGCAAGAGAGAAGAATCGCGGCAAGGGCAATGGCCGGAAATTTGCCGGAGTGAAGAAGAAGGTCGATCCGTTGAAGACGTTTAATCGGGGCCGGAAGTAAAAAGAATTACGGATAATTATTGTGCTTCGAAGAAAATACCATCATGCTGTTCATTTTACTGTACATACTGGTTTGGGAAATGAAAAAGTTACTTTAAGCATACCAGATGAAGATTCTCTAGCCGTTTTCGATATCTACAGCTATACATGGTATATCTACCAAGAACTGTCATCTGATAGATATAGCTCTGTAGGAGGTATCTAGTACTTATATATGGTGATATCCTAAGAACTGAATCTGAGTTCTCATTGTTCCGAGTTTATGACCTGGTATTTACTAACTGCTCCAACATAGGTTTAAATGCCTCAGGCACTTGCTGTCTATCCATTTCGGAAGTCGGCTTTACGAGCTACGAATTCAGGCATCCGAGCGAGTGACCTGAGAAGGCAGACAGCCCAGGCAAGAAAACTATAACTCATAGAAGTAAGCTGTTGTCAATGGCTCTATTCGAATATATACGTTAAGATAGCCCTACAACGGCATTTACCTCACCGATTTCCCGGGGCGCCATGTACTAATAGTTGAATGTATATACAACCCGGTCTCATCCCATCAAGGGAGAAGACTCAAATACTCCTTCCCGAGTAACCGTCTAAGGACATCCTCTTCCAACCCGTCTAAGCCGAAAGAAAATTGCACCCACTTTCCCTTGCCCGCCTTTCTTGTCCGCTGTACTCGCTGCTGCACTGCTTTCGCAGCTTGCACGGCTTCCCGATATCGTTCCAGCTCCTTCTCGCGACGATACTTAATTCGTTCCACTTCGACGTCCCATGGGAGACCATCGGAATCCGCCGACTGATCAGGAGATGGAGCATGCATAGAGAATGCTAGAGAACGGGGCACAGAAGATGATGATGTGAGAGACGAAGACGCAGCAGCAGATTGTCCAGAAGAAGTGGGAAGAGGCAGTAACTCGCTATCATCAATATGAGGAAGCCATCCTGGACCTAGACGGATAAACTCGATATCTCTCCATGACCCATTCCATTCTGGCCCGGCGACGTACGCCTCGCCATCTGGTCCAACGCCATCCCAGTTCAGTGCTGGGACCCAGTCGCCGCAGCCTTCTAGATCTAGCCATTTCAGACAGTAAGATGCGCGGGAGAGTCTCCGCAGGATACCGGCTGCTTCGGCCCAGTTGTTCTCGAATGAAGAGTATGCGTCTGTGCCGCCGTAGGCGAAGGTTAAGGATCTTTGTGTTGGGTGTCGTACGCGGGCGTTAACGGCGTTCGGTGTAACTGTCGGGACGGGCCAATGTGCCAACGATAGGTGGGTTATGGTTGAAAGGCGGGAGAGGAGGTTGATGAGTGAGTTCCAGTTAGTAGCAGATGGAATTGGATGCGCTAGTGAGAGAAAACGGAGATTCTCAAAGCGGAGTCCTTGAGTCAGAGTTTTAGGGAGAAGAGTATTCCCAGCGACGGCAGGATCATCATCCTCGCTCAATTTATCCTCCCAGGACGCTGGGACGGGCTCTTTCATAGTATGTTGCACAGTACTGGGTTTCGCGGGCACGATTAACTCGCTGGAAAGCTGTTTCCAGGTCATCCAGCGCCCTACCGCACCGCCTAGGTCCAAGCGGCTTATCTCCAAATCACTGTCCTGCGATATATCGTCTTCTTCAGGCCGATGTTTCTCAATCAGCGGTCTTAGACCATGCATCATACCCCGCAACGGCTGGTCTCTCGCGTGGATGGCGACATAGCTAAGCAGCAGCACTTTGATATGACTAGGTAGGAGTGCAAGGAACTGCCCGTCGTATTCAAGATGCCAAGCCCAATGTGAAGCCATAGATTTGAGCAGCATATGTAGCAGGGAGGTTCTCCGGGGAAACGTCGTACCTGGGAGACGATCGAGGCGATATATGATTCTCTCGGCCTCCGCTGCACCAGCTTCCAGGCCAGTTTCCTCTGAATTCTCCGATGAATAGTTTCCAAGCAGCCAACTCTCAGGTGGCGGTGGCCCAGCGGTCCTTCTCACCCGTCGCCCACCAACTCCGGCGCGGCGGGCATCCGGGCGAGGGCGGGGAGGCGGCGTTTCGGGGAGCTCTAGTAGGTTACGAAGCGATGGATGGACGGATCGCGGCGCAACTGTCCTGAAAGGAGCTCTGGCGCCATCTTCGGAAGGAGAGCTGGACACCTGGGTACGGCGGAGATGGTTGATCAGGTCGTTGACGGATGGCTGTTCAGTTGACGACCGGAAACGATCATCTCGGAGGCCAGAGGAAGCTAGAGTATGGTGAGCGGTGCTAGCCGGTTTGGTGAAAGTAGACCTATGATGCTTTTTGGGCATCGAGGAAAGTGTAAGGGTGGTGGATAGAGGGGAAGTTGGAAATGACGCCGAGGTGCGGGAAGGTGGAAGCTTTAAATCTTATCGATAAATCTGATAAATCCGCCCCCACTGAGTCACTGACATCGAGTCACTCGTAAGGTAGAATTAGTCTGGGTCAAGTCTTCTTCTAGTTTGATGGTTTACACTTCTGGCTGTCTTTCTGCCTATTATACATTGGTATATGAAGGTCTTCATATATCACGAACCCAGGATTCATCATCCATCTTTCCTTCACGTTTCGGCCCTTCTTGGATCCAGGTCTCTACCAAACCTTCCTTTGGATCTTCATCGGGCAACCCCCTCGAGCGTCTTACGTCTAACACAAGGTCCCTAACTTTCTTGGTGACCTCTTTGCGCAGCTCAACTGCTTCCTTTCCGTTAAGAAGCTCGTCGCTCAACACTCCCATGGGGAGGTCGCGAGTCTCCGGAGCTTTTGCTTCTGCCTTGGCCTTCAAATCCCGCCATCGCCGCCTCATATCTCCAAACACTGCGTCAGTATCAACCTTCTGTCCGAAAGTGACACTAACGTCCTTCCCGGGTCGTGGGAGGAACCGTGGAAACTCGCGGCTCTCATGCATGACCTGGTCAAACCCTTCAATCCACATAGGAACGACGTCAGGGCATTCATTTGTTTCTAGAATCAGTCGAGCAACGCCCCATTTGAAATAGCGCATTGTTTTGTTCGGTGCCTGGTGGATTTTGCCTTCCGGGAAAATATGGACCCAGGAGTAGGAGTTGCAAGAGAATGCGGATGGAGCCAGATGTGAATCCTCTCCGTTAGTGGTGTAGGCCATGGGAAGGTCGGAAAAGGGGTCGACGCAGACGTTCTGTCGACTCCAATACTGTCGCTCGGGACGGGCATTGTGTGCGTTAACGGGGAAGGGTCCTTTCGATAACAATCGGATCGCCTGGGTTACGGCTGGTTGTGCAACACCACCGTAGGGTGAGTGTGCGAGTCGATGGGTGGGCAGAACCTGACCCATGGTGAAGAACAGGGATAAGGGCCTTTCAGTCCCTCGTTGTTAGCCGGCTGTTCGTTGCGGTAGGTCGAAAACAGGAGTCATACCTGCCCTGAAAGCAGATGTCATGACTGCCAAATCCCCATCTTTTATTCCAGTTCGAGAAGCCAAAATTGTATCGCAATGGTAGGAAACCCCACATGATCGGATCATCCATACTGCTCGTTAGCGACCACGGTCAGTGTACTCTTCTTTGTCGCGAGTAATCAGGTCGCCTCGGCCATTCTGAGGCGCATCGTACGTACGTACACGCTGATATGGTTGGAAACTATCGTAAAAAACGGGAGGTTAGCCATCGCACGTCAAATCATTATTGGAAAGACAATAAACAGCAGGAACAATACCTGTGAGTAGGCCCTTCGTTCTCTTGGACGGATCACTTCGAGAGTCGAGCAACTCCAAGAACGAGTCGAGGCCGTTTACCTCGGGTCGACTAAGCGTATACAAAAATGAGCGACATAGCGCAGCGACTCCAAATATTGTCGCAGAGGACATGACCCTCCAGGGTAAGGAGGGACATTCTCCTGTTGCACCGGAATCCCTATCGCCCGACATCATGAAGTTATTGAAGCTCCATGAAACTGTTGGGACGCTTCGAGCCTGGCGGGGAAGAAGGACGGAAGGAAAAGAAATCAGGGACGGGGTAAAAAAGAGGGCCCCGGATCATCGGCGTGTCAGCAATTGGCATCTTAATTGGTTTTTTTATTTTTATTTTAATCCGCGGAGGTCGGAGGACGCACGGACCACGTGAACCTGACCTCAGAACGGGATTTTCGCCCGAGACTACACCTTTAAACACTTGCCCTTTGTTATCGCAACCCCATATTCTGTGGCACACAAGATGTTCAAGGCGTCGTCTCCTCTCTTTTCTGGTCTTCTGTGGTAGGTATTTTGGTTAACTCTTTTTAAACTCTTCGAATCTCGCGCAATTGCCCCTTCCCGAACGTTCTTCGTCAACAAGTCCAGAGTGAATTCTAACCATCTCTTCTTATTCCGAAACAGGAAGATCCCATGGCGAATCTCGCAGCCCCAGAAGGCTCGCCAGAGGAAGCGCCTTCGCTCCGTCGATCGCGTGGTAGACACCATCAGCGCCGCCCTTGCACGTAATGGACAGAAGGCACGATCCGTCGACCGGTGGTATCGGGAAATGCCTCGCGAGGAGGAGATGCTGCCCAAGGATAAATACACTCTCTTCGACAAGAAGGAAAAGACATACCGCAAAGGCATTCACAGTACGTTGCCCCTTATCGTCCGTCTTTTGCAATCCCTCTCCACGAATGTCACGTTACTGGCCTGGGATGTGCGGACGAAAACCAGAATAGAATGGGAAGCTGGATGTTGGAATATGTGAGTCTGTAGCTGATATTTTATGTGACAGAGCTGCCGAAATGGACACGAGTCAGCCAGCGCGTGAACCCTCCCGGTTTCTAAACAGTTGCTTGGTGTACTATCTCGAAGCACTTCGATGCGAACGCTGCCACCAGGCTTTCGGGGCCGAACCTTGCGAGTAAATACTGGGATTCATATTGTACGATACACTTTGGCGCTTATTGGCCATGTTTTCTCATGGGAGAGCGTCTTAAACTAGAAAACGGATACATGAGGGATTACCGGAGTTTTGGCAACTGGGCAAATCACACCATGACTGTGTTGAATTTCCTTGTTTAGTTACAATCATAGTTACTTTTAGTCTCGAGCGCATGTACAATTACTTGGTTTGTTTCCACGAGATTACCCGTGAACCCGCCATATAGTAACGAGTGGACGCCGCAGTGAGCTGAAATGACATGCAAAAGGGCGAACATGACCCGATGGAAGATTTTAGTAAGAATATGGCAGGAGAAAAGACGAGCATCGTTACCTGCGTGGTAAATTTGTCTTATCCAGTTAGCGAACCACCTAGGTTTTCCACGCAACTGCTGCCCCCAAGGCTGCCATTGAAGGAATCACTGGCTCAGGTCTGCTGCTTCTGTCGCCGATACCATGCTGTTTGGCAGAACCGAGAAATATCGACTGCGGTTTGCTTTGCTCTAGTTCTGTTGGCTCTACCTTCGTGAATTGCCTTGCGGATTCGATATCCACGGCAGATGTTTTGCCAATCATCTAATCTTTCTTGCCAGCCTGTCCCCCCTTCATAGTATGTGGCATTTTGTCTGGCAGACAGTTGATGTCCTTGTGGTGGCTTTCGGATTAACCAACAGGCTGGATCGATATATCCATCCGGAGGGTTATCGGCCGAGTCGTCATATAATTCAACTCGTTTGACAAAGTCTCTCAGCCCCGATGCTTTTCTGATTTGATTGACAAATATTCTCCATGATTCTATCCGCGGCGTGTTGGCAACTCCACGGGCCACTCTAGGATACTTGCGTTTAGGACGCCGAGGCGTTGGCGAAGGTGTTTTGAATCTGCGATCCCCGAACTGCCGCTTTACATCGATAGGCGCACGCGATGCAGGGTCATAAACGATCCAAGTGCGAATATTAAGCCAATGGTTGGGCAGTAGGGGAAAGTGAAACGGTTTTCGACCTGGCATAAGCTGGTAAGAGAGCCATCCAAGTTTTCGGTCCAAGCTGTCTATCAGCCTTATCTCCCAGTTGCTCAAATGCCTCAATGGGATAGTGATTTGTGCGAACGTTGTCCCATGCAGGTTGGCGTTCTTCTTGCCCTGGGGTCTTCCTTCTTTACCACTTCCTTGGGACGGTATGGACTCTCGTAGCCGCGTAGATGGAAGTTGATATTGAACAAACTGAACCTGGTTTCGATGCATATCAACGGGAAGAGCAGTCTGAATTTGACATTGATCTTGCCTGTACAACGTTGCTGCCGGTTTTCGGGCTCTAGCAATGGTGGGTTTTGATTGATAGCTTGCCACCCTAGCTCTTTTTAGACAACCTTTCTGAGTGCCGGAGATACTGCGGCCAATCGAACCACTCAATGAGCTCCAAACTGTGGTACGCCTGTCTCTATTTATCATCCTTGCTAGAGTCGTTTGATGGGACGAGAACCCGGTCAGCAACTCGGACCTGGGACTCCCTGGAGGAACTGGAAATCGATGCGTGCTATATCTTCCACACTCCGGGACATTCAATGCCATCCGGGCAGACCAAATTTGGTATTTGCGTGAATATCGTAATGCCCGAAGGTTTCTTGATTTTCGGTGATGGTCAGTTGGTCTCTGCAAGTTCGAGGAAGCTTCAGAGCGTTTTCTCACTCCCCGAAAGGTAATCTTCAGATCTGATAGACAAGGAAGGGAGTAGTTTCGTTTTGCCAAAGGATCATTATTTGAAATATAGAAAATGAGGTCTTTTCTTGTAAGGACGCAAGCGGACTGATCTAAGGAGAGGAACCTTTTATGGTTGAGCGAGCGCGCCGAAGTTTTGTCTGCTTGAATTGTACAGTAGTTCAGAATCATTGTGGGTTGTTTTCCTCGGGTCGCAGGGCCTACAGATGGAAGATCATCTCTGAACAACTCCTTTGCAGAGGAGACATTCCTGCGCTGTCTCCTTCTCGGTAGTTTATATCTTTCAGCACGAGTGTTGGACACATTCTCGAATCGGAGAACTCCAGTCATCTTCGGGGAGGAGTATGACTCGCCGCCTTTGCCTGTGCTTCGGGTGTATCCGTAAGGGGTGTGGATAGTATTTGCTGTTGTAAGTTTACATTTTCTGAGATGCGTCGGTAAACTTTGACGGCGCATTGAGTCCTGCTTGCATGCTTCCAGCTCCTTTTGATCAGAACTCCACCAAATCGAACAATAACTGTTCTTCGCTGAATTCCATGTCGTCCATTGTCGAGCCTTTGCGAAACACCTTTGCATTATGGATCTATCGGGCTTTTTTCGTTGGAGCGGAACCCATCCGTACCAGGTTTTTGTGTAGCGACGCGCAGGGCTGTTTCCTCCCCCAATGACCTTTTCCTTGGTGAAGCGACGGAAGAATTTCCCTAGCTTCCAGACTAGAACGGAGACAACAAATATGCAGAATGTCCCAGTGAAGAGCTCGAGAACAGCTTTAAGAGTAATGGTCTTTGGGCCTGATATAGGCATGGGAGGTGCGCCTCTAATTGGTGGGTAATAGCCAGGTAGCGTATGAGAGAGTCGGGGAAGGACCGGCGCCATCGGAGGGGTTTCCAATGATCATCCTGATAACAATATGGGAATAGAGCTGAAACTGCTGTGGGATTTGTTAAGGAAGGACAATAGAGTCGTGAGAAGCATGTGTGAGTTGTAAGAGGAAGGCATGACTGAAGCTGGCTGCTTCACTTTAGTACTTTCTTCGAGATTCTTCAAGGTGGAAATAATAACTAAATTATGGATGATCTCACCCCCAGAGTTCAGATCCAATCATCGTTACATCCTTCAAATTGTATCCGTAGTAATAGTCATATATAGCCATAGCGATGGCTACACTATCAGAGTGTTTGCCAGCAGAACGTGGCTCCTTTTTGTTCTGGCTACTATTTCTAGTAAGTATAAGCTAATGCCCATCAACAGGGGCGTGTATGCTTTGACTAGCTGAACTTTACAAGTGACAGTGATTCTTCCTGTGAAAGCTTGCTACAATATATACCTCTACCCCTTAAGCAAGTATCCAGCATCGAAATATATTTTTAAAGATACTAACGTTGAGCAGGGGATGAGTATGAACGAGGTTAATTACTACCGGAGGGAGTGAAACAACAGCTACTCTCCAGACAGGATGTACATCGTATCTCTTCAATTATCCCATAGTATACAAGAAATTGCCCGGGAGCTACGTGAGTTATACCTGTTGTGTAATGCCTACGTCTAGCATGATAATTGAGTTGGTTGGGATAGCCTTACCTATCACTTGGTTCTCGCAAAACTATGTTGGAATTTTTATGTGGCCCTGGGTCAAACGGTACAATTTCTTTCACCCTCCGTGTACAAGACTCATTGATGGCGAAGTTGGCTCCCATCCGTCGATAGATGTTACAGTCTGCTGACCAGACAGACTCATTATTCCAAATGAGAGATTTACGAGTTTTGGAAACGTGGAATCAGCCTCAGTTTGCCATCAGGGACGACACACTCCCACCTGAATTTTTTGCACAACTCACACTTATTGGGCCAGACAGATTCCACCTGCTAGATGTATTGCATCATTTCTGGAAAAGCCAGCGAAAGGGGACACTAGGATGGCGAATTCGCTTAGGTCTTTGTATGTTTTAGGATCGGTAATAGTTCCTTTAATATTATTTTTCAGCTTCATCGTGTCACTTTCAAGATATCCAAGTGGCCAATAGAGCTCTTTTCTAGCAAAAGTGAAGTTGTGCTTGGATCTGCGACAACAGGCTCCGTCCATGATTCAGCTTCACAAAGAAAATTTCCATCGGAACAACCCTATAGAACGCCAACTATAGATAGGATACGTGTCCGCGTTCCGCCACTGCTTCCGATTTTTTCAGTCTGCACTGTCATTTCTGGAAAAATGTAAACATTCGCCTTCCGTTCTCTAATCCCAGGCAGAAAAATAAAAATCCCTGTCTATAGGTGTCTAAATTAGCCTAAACTACAAACGCAAATCGCCCATTCATCCAATCAGCTCGCTTGGTAGCCTTTTTACCTATCGCATTGTTTACCAACGCGATGGTTCATCACAAACAACAAATACTAATGTCAACGCCACATTTCCTTGTTTTGTCTTTGTCAATTTTGTTGCTTTTTTTCGTGAAGTTTGGTTTGAGATCTGATCCAGGAATTCTGGCGGATTTTCAACGTCAATGTCTTACTCCCAAGGTAGTATAATAGATTACTTGGATTCAGTAGCCACCACTAGAGAATTAAATCAAGGAAATGCGTCAGTTAATGCTGTGCGGTTGTAAACTACTGGAGAGTTTAGAAAAAACAGGTTCAACAATATAAGTAGCGAAATCCTTTGCACGGACTAAGTGGGTCTGCGTGGACTATACAGTGGGGGTCCAAAAGTATGTGACCCCCTATACATAAAGGTACCTAGCTTCTCATACCAGGAAGATAGAGCCACTGGGTACCTTTGTGTATAGGGGACACATGCTTTTGGACCCCACTGTATGTGGTGATGGAGATCTATCCTTTGTCACGTGAGAAAAACAGGTATTGTATCAGCTCCGCGACACCTCCGTTCTTCTTTGTCACATAGTAGTAAGCGATCGGCTTGTTGCCACCTGCGTACGCGCGGTTGGGGGCGGGTGTAACGTTTACAGTTAGGAGCATATCGAGATAGCACCTGCATAAGATCTAGTTTGCCGATCATGGATCTATAGGTATTATTTGGATAAATCGCTGTTTACCAAGGATGAATGGCTAGTCACGCCATCAGAGGTTCAACTACCGGCAGAAACCGCGAAAAAGAAAAAAAGAAAAAAAAAGACGAAGAAGGAGAAAAATTAAGAAAAAGCGTAGCGGCCTAGCAATGAAAGGAGGCGACCGAATCTCGGTGTCACACTGAGTATGGCAACAGAGAAGCAGAAGGGTGAAAATGGAAGATTGGGTAGCATCTAGGATTCTAGATGGGGAGGCCTCAGCGGCATTGGAGACATAATTGACCAAGTAAGGGTTCGCATAGATCGATCCAGATGCTAGCGCTGGACAAGATGAATTCCAACCAATTTCTCACCGACAAGCAGGTGGTTATGCTGAGTGGACTGATTCAGCAAGGAGTGACGGTGTTGGTGATGAGATGGTAAATCTCGATAGTTCACCGCCACAGAATGAACGTTGATCAATAGTCTAAGCCACCTGTGGCTAGTGGGTCACGGCCCAATCAGATGAGAGAGTTCTCGCATAGTTGAGGGCCGATTCAACAAGCAAATTCTGATGGATCTTGCATGGCCCTGCAGGCAGACGCAAAATACGGTCCGAAAGTCGGTACACACAAAAAGCAATGATCTCTGTGTCGGCCAGATGTTCCGCTAAACTGGGGACCAAGGACCGCCAACCGGGTAACACAGAGTCACAAGCTTGAGACTGATCTGCAGCCTATGCCTTACTTTTGACCCCTGTCTTGACATGCTGACAGTCTTGGCCCGAATTACAGAAGCTATGCATTCGATCATGGTGCTAGGTGAGAGTAACTGAAGAGGCTACTGGACCCGTTATACCTCTTCTCACCCTGCCTTCTTATGCTTATGCGCCATACTGATCACTCAGTATTTCACTTTAGCTGATTACCATACTTGTTCATTTGTTTCCTTCAATATCAATTATAGTACGATTGCTGGTGGCTCCTTTTACTCAATTACCAGGTTATGTAACCGGTAAAAATTAGCGTAGGAGCTTCTTGGTCTTGACTCTTGAGCAATGTAGCCATGCCGGTAATCACGGCAAAGAAAATAAGGAAGGACCCTGTCTAGACTTTCTGTAGATCAGACAGCAAATCGATGATTGGTCGATCTACACAAGAAAGGGTGAAGGACCTGCAGCCACAAAGAACCTCGTGGGGACCCACCGATTGTTGGCGTACTCAGATCCACGGATCTCAAAAATGGGGGATGCTATGAAGATCCGATCAGTCAAGGCAGCAGTCAATGGTAGCTTTGTAGCTTTGCAATCCAACCCTACAGAGTTTTGGCTTATGGAGTAGAGCCAATGTTTTTTTTCCGGCTGCCTGGTCCGTAGAGTTCATATAGTTCATGAGGCTGAGGTGGAGATCCTTCGGCATTGACAGTGTGGCTCGTTTCCCATACTAACCTAGACGGGTAGGGGTGTGGCGAAGTTGTTGAGGCGTCCATCGGACCCACTTTCATTGTTCCTCTTTCAGTAGTCTCACTTTCATCTCCGTAGCTCACATGCTCCATTCTAACCCTCCTCCTTCATAAATGAAGAAATTGTACTGGTCGCATCCCATCACTTCCGTTCCAGACCCTTCGCTTCCATTCTGTGGGTACTGCCTTGGAAACTTCATCCACTCTAAGAGAAAGCATCCATTGGGCCGGGATCCATATCTGCAGTGATAATCATGTTTTTTTCTAGTACACGAAGACAATAGGCCTGCATATCAGCCGCTTCACAGGCTCTACTCGCCCACTAACCCACCTATAGCGAGACGGCACACTCGCCTCTTAGACTACAGCTCCAACAAGAGAACATGTCGTTAATCTGCTGAGATACGAGTGCCGGTGCTGCATATCTAAGATCGAGATCAGGAATCCGCTGTTGTGGACGTAATAGAAAGCGATGAAAATCAGTGCCGGTGAGTTTATGGTCCATGGGCTCCGCCGGTGAGGTCGATATATGCAAGGAGCCCGATTTGGAGATCCTAGTCTCATTGCCTGGCAGCTAAACGGCAAGGAACGTCTCGTAGGGAAAGGAAAAATGGAGAGTGCTACCTCTTTGCACCGTAGGTGGGCTTAGAAAGGAGGAAGGAAAATGGGGAATCAGTGATTAATTCTCCGAGGTTTAAGGAAGCAGGCTCATTCCAACTGTACTGAAGGAAAGGAGCGGATGGACAGGCCAACAAAAAAGGAAAAATTAGTAAATCAGAAAAAAAAAAATAAATGTGGATCAGCGAACCAATGGCCTTAAATTCCGGAGGCGCTAGCGTGGTCACCAAATCCCTAATCTTGTAACATATCCCGCGACTGATCTGATCGAACCTACCGAGAATCAATGGAAAGTTCTCCGTTTCAACATGTCTCATTCCACTTTGCCTTCTGGGCAAGCAAGAAGCCAACTCAATTCGACCCATATATGACAAACTTAGATCAAATGTGATCTCATTGTTGACGCGTAACGGTAAGACAGCAACAGAAAGAAAGACAAAATTCTGAGAAAAGTAAAATAAGAACGTGCGTCAACCCGAAATCAATAGTGAGAGCCCACATTCCGGGAATGTCCCACACCAACGTCCTGTTTGCAGAATCTTGCAGGTGTTATCAATGCGAACCCTACCCAACCCTAACAACCCCCCAACATACTCTCCCCATACCGTCCGGTGCTTATTTCCCTCTGCAGATCGGCGCCATTTGGTCATTGAGATCTATTGACCTCTAGTCTCCTGTGGTGGCAAACTCGCGGAGTTCATTAGAGTAACCATGGTTCCATTT